ACATTAAATACTTGTTCACAATTGGAATATTTAAACATCCATGTCTATATATTTTCAAACATTTTAATTACAAACAACTCTGATCACTTAAAATTCATTTAATATGTGATATGTAATAACATATGGACTATTTATCGAATATTTCAGTTATAAGGATGTAACATAGTTTTCCTAAGGTTACAATGTTAATAATATATTTCAACTGAACGGTACCTTAAAGTTTTGATACATGTCTTCAGTTTTCAACATAAGGTACTGTTATAGTTTGTTTTTTTGTGTTTTCACAATATATTATTTGGTCTTATTTAGCGGCGGGAAATCAGTTGAGGCCTGCTGATAACACTGGGACACCTATGCAAAGCGTAAAGAAATCAGAAGGTAGTTTCTTCTCGTATTTTTTTGTCAAGTATGTAGCAATGTTAAATGTTCAATAAGTTGCAGTAATCATCTTATATATTTCTAAATCACATTTAAATTCGACGTGTCAAATGCTGTGATAAATGGCAGATAATGTCTATTACAACCGTCAGGAAGCTGACAAAAACGTTGACTAATTAATGGTATATGTTGGATTTTATATAAAGGTTTTTGACAGTGTGCATTTATCATTCCGGATGCAAAATAAATGTAATATCTGGCTAGCGACATGATAAAGTATGGGATAAGAAGCTTAAAGGTTGATGCCTAGTTGGATTATAGTTGTTCTTGTTTTGAAAATAAATATATATATTTTCGAAGATCGATATCAAGAACAACTCTGATTATATAGGAATCATCTCAACGTTTCATATATGTGAAATATTTCTTTTATAAGGACTTATTTTACATATATTTACAATATTAAAAATATATTTTAACTTAACGGTACCCTTAACATTTAGTTCTTGATTCGTGTTTTTACGTGTCAAAATAAGGTACTGATATTGTTTTGGTGGTTTCACACTGTTTTTTTCTTATTTAGTGCCGAGTAATCAGTTGATGTCTGATGACAACAAGGAGACGACAATGCAGAGCGATTGGGAACATTTATCTCCTGAAGTCACACCACAAAACGGTAGTTCTTGCTATCATTTGTGTCATTCGTCATCCTAACACGAATTCTCTGGGAGGGGCGAAATTAGATGAGTGAATTAATTTCAAATTGGTAAAGACCATGGGTTTTGTCTACAGGCTGGGACATTTCCAAGTCATATAAGGTTCAACCCATCGCCTACAAGATGCTCTAGTCATCCAGAATTTCTATCACCTGATAAGTCATGTTTAGAGACATCAATTACAAATCGAAATGTAGATATTTAATATGAATATGTTGAATTTATACATTAGCTATCATTATGGAACAATACGTCGTTAACAACATGATAGGCTAATGTTCTCGGGACAAATACCATTCACCGGATTTTTCAGATTCATTAACGACCAAACATAAGGTTACGAAATAAAATATTATCCAAAGTTCACTTATATACCTAGGTCAATCGGAGTATAATTCTATTTTACTATTAGTGGAAAGGCGTACCAGCCGCAAATCATGATGGCTGTCGCTTAGGGAATGTACACAAATAAAAGTTGATGCCCCGGAAGCACGGTTTATCGATATGCATATGTTAAACGAAGGACCTCTTTTCATAACGTGAACTTTCTTAACATTAAGTGTTGATATATACAATCGAGACATGCTATAAACATTATAATACCTATCATTTAAAATGTTTATAACGTGTCCAGCGCAGTTATAATATCACCGAATTGGCATATAACCTAAAGTACATTTATCATGTGATGCTATAAAATAAAATCGAACATAAAGTAAACTTTACTAGCTTTGAAATAGGATGTGACTCCTTTGTAATCTTCAAAGGACAGGTATCAGCCTAGCAATTGGTCAGGTTTATTTTTACCACAGACCAATCAAATAGCTAACTTCGTGCCTTCAATTATATTACGACATATCCTAGGAGTGCAGAGAGCGTAAGTGAGCGTACCCCGTGCAGTATCGATGATGCATGACAACATTCATTTGGATATTTGAGTCTGGTACGTCTCTCCACAGCGGCGGGGAAAAGTGAAATTAATCTCCGCATGTCCTAGGTATAATGTGACCGGGTGGATTACTATGCTGGGTGCCGTCAGCATGGTATTTCATTGATAGCATTAAAATAGAACACTATTAAGTATGAATCAGATCCATGCTATCGTAAGGAGGCATTCACACCTACATACCGCCTCCAGCACACTTACACACACGCATTACACATATGAAGGCACATCTTTAGAGAGGACATAAGCTGTTAAAAAGAGGCTTATCCTTATCAAATCAAACCAATTGCCGAAGGAAAATTGAAATTGAACGTTTTCCATCGGTAACGCTATATTTATGAGTTTTCATATTTTGGAGAAGAACTCTAGTATGTTTTAGTCTTTTTAGTTAATATCAGAAAATGTTATCTTTGAGAACAAAAATCAGAGAAAAAAATATATGATGAGGAGTGAAAATCAAACATAAAATGCAAGTAACTTATACATATGCCCCTGTTTGCATAGCGAAGTTTAAAGTTAAGGATTCATCCTTGTGACAAATGTATTAACATTGTACTATTTTATTGTATTTTTAGTAACTGCAGATGGTCCTTCCAGCTTTCCTATGTCATGTAAGAAAAAATAAGAAAATGTTGTGTAACTCGTGTTTTCATGGACATAAACGTGGCTCTGTGTCTCGTGGATCGTGCTACCAAATCATCCAGTCTTCCCAGGAAATGTATCTATTTGTTTCCAGGGGTATTTACATACGCCATCAAGTCGTCGTTAGAACGCTTGCTTGGCATACCCCCATCCATCACACGAGCTGNATATATCTTCTTTGTTTTTCAACGAGTGAAATTAAAAGAAAATAAATATTAGTATTTCAATCATGACTAAAAGACAAAAAACAACACTATTATAATACGCAGAGGCTCCTGTCGACGAAAAGTATCTCAAAGCTTTTTTCGGAGCCGAACTGGGATGGGACGTAAAGTACCACGAAGATTGCAACGAAGCTGAAGTACAAGAGCATCTCAAAGAAACAAGGACCATTCTGAAGGACGACAAGTACAACAATGGATCATTCAAATATTATTGTCTGTTTGTTGCAGTGATGAGTCACGGCGGTGAGGTAATTTCAATAGGACGAACGAGGTTGTACAATTTATCAGCTGATGATGCATTGGTCCTTATTGTTTAATTCAGCAGAAAATTGAATCTCTGGGGCCTTAATTACGATAAAGTTGTTCTTTTTTTCCAGGAGTATTTCCTAACCAAGGATGAAAAAGAATTCAAATACGCTGATGTATTTAGCGAGTTCACAAACGGAAAGATACCCGAATTTGCAGGTAAGAAGAAATAGTTATATGATTATTGAAAAAATAAATGTGTCACTTCAAAACAAAATATCATTTTATTGGAATTATTGATATTTACAAGAAGCCCATAGCTATTAATCATGATTCCATTATATGTTTCAGAATAACTTTTTTATTTAACAAATATGAATAAAAGATAACAACTTCAATAAGTGGAAAATAACAATGTATCATCGTAGCAGTTATTTGATTGACTGAATTACCTTAAACTACAAATATGTCTGTTGCATTACTTTAGCTCAACGATAACTTAAAATCAAGATATGGTAACTGTGACCTTAATATTTGATCTACGACCTGAAATATCGCACAAATCATTAGGTTTGTGGAATGTGTCAGTCTTTCATGCCGAAAAATTATCAACATATCATGTGTAACGTGTAGGACGAAACCTATTATCCATACTGAAGACGGACAGAAGGAAGTCAATACAAAACAATAACAGCTACAAAACAATGTCAAAAGTTCAAGATAATTATTTCTTTGTCAAGCCAAACGGTACCATCACTTTTTACAAATTCATTCTTGGCTGGTATTTACCTGCACAGCGTGATAAAAACAGGTGGCGAGGGAACAACAAGACGAGATGATAACGAGGGCGCCTCATTTCTGACACAGAAGGCATATATGACTTCAACTGTTGTTAAAACCAAGTTGAACGTCCACCTTATTGCTTTATGGCATCACTAATGAGTCCCAGAAGGACGAAACAGCTATATGGTGCAGTGTAATTCATTATTGGCATACTGTGTCCATTGCTAACGTTTATCGTTGAAATAGTGTGTACGTGTCTCACGTTCATCTTTCAAGATTTAGTAAGATGTTAGAACAGAGAAGTGGTGTAAATATACAGTAAATTAATATTAGTCAACACAATATTAGTTAAAAAGTGTTTCAGGGAATGTATTTTGTCTATGATAATTTGTCGCTTAGGTTGTTATACTTATATGACTCTCTATTGTAATAGGTAGACCGAAGGTGTTCCTAATGCAAAGTTGCAAGGGAAAGGAAGTACAGAATGAAATACTCAGTGACCACGTACGTGAACAATGCCCCATCTTAGATGATTCTGATATCCTAGTGATATGGGCAACGACACCAGGTAAGTTTATTTAATGTTCCTAAACTATCTTTAGCAATAGAAGTTCTGGGGCTTGGTTCCGAAAGACTGCAAATATACCCGTAAAAAGACTCCATAGGCGAGGCAATAACCCCGCACTTATCTTGGTAGCATGATATTGTTCATCACCTCATGTCGCGCAAGCACATTTTTGATTATATTGTGGTGGTCGGAATCGTTTTCTATGTTGCGATCAAAGGCCTGAGTACCTCAATACAAATCGTGAGTGCATTTGTATATTCACGCCCGGCTTTTTGAGAAATAATCAACGAATGTGCGCATATTATGATGGATGAAGTAACGGGATGAGAACATGTTTGGGGGAAATCATTAACAAAGGCCGCTTGCAGCCTGATTTGATTTATTTCAATCGTTTGCGAATCCCGGACTATGATTCCACAATACTATACAATCATATGTTGATTACATCTATTCTACGAAGTAAAATGTAATACAATTCTTTTTCATCATTTTTACGTCTACCTCAGTGTGAACACGCCTATGATGAGCACGCTAGTATTTGTCACGTGAAGCCTATGTCTTCATTTCACAACAAGCTGCGTTTTATCATTGCCGACCTATTTTTTCTCTTTAACCGCGATACATTTGGAAATGATTTATCATTTTCGGTCGCCATTTGGTCGGCAGACGAAAACAATTAACACCTGCTTTATAACAGATGTTTATTTAAAGCAATCAAATCCATCAATAATCGACATCACGTGAATGGTTTGTTGGAAAATAATACACACACGTGCATGGTCTATCACCCAATAACCTATGGTTATTAAACAATGAAAAATGTCGTTTAAAGGGTCGGACCACAACCATTTATATGTTATGACTAAGTAGTTCACAGGCTTGAGGCTGGATCTCGAGGTTAACATTGGTAGCACATTTG